TAAAAAAATAAACAAAAGGAAACTTTAAAAGAAGACTTTCATTTGTTAGGTGTAAATTGTATGCACAACGAAATGTTCATTAATATGTTATAGTTGGAACTTTGTTGGTGTGTTTTATGGACGAAGCGTTTCGCAGCCCTTGTAGTTTCAGCGCGGAAACTTCATGTAAACAGTTCGAAAGAGGGATCACGGAAGAAAGTGAGTTATTTTAGGGTTCATGTGTTTTGTTTTTTTTATATTCGAGCTCCTGCTGATATAAGGATTATTTGGGGCTGCTACTGATACTTTTATTCTAGAGTTGCTACTGTTACTATTTTTAATGTTACTACACAACCATTGAACCACCGCGAGGAAGGTTCACCGTGAGAAAAGTTTACTGCGCAGAAACTTCACCGTATAAATTCATTATATTTCTATAATTAATTTATAATATATATATATATATATATATATATATATATATATATATATATATATATATATATATATGTGTGTGTGTGTGTGTGTGTGTGTGGTGTGGAATTAGGAGGATTTAAGATAATCATAATTAAGTAATTCATCGAGTCTAGAAGAAACCTCAACAGAATGCAGAAAGCACTGGACGGCCGTTTCTATTTTGGACTCATCAGCAGTGCGCATCCACTACAGAGAATTACTTTCTGCATTCTATTGAGGTTTCTCCTAGACTCGATGAATTACTTTATATATATATATATATATATATGTGTGTGTGTGTGTGTGTGTGTGTGTGTGTGTGTGTGTGTGTGTGTGTGTGTGTGAAAACAAAACAAAAAGATTACAGGTATTTCAGAAACCGGAAAATGATTTGGATGAAATATTTGAACTTTTGCTCACCTTGAGTGATTTTTTTTTTTTCACTTTTCTTTGTACCCTTTTTGTTTTGTGTTCGTTTTTTTCTTTTCTTTTGTTTTTTTGTAAAGGGTACAAAGAAAAGTGAGAAAATCACTCAAGGTTAGTCAAAGATCAAATATTTCATCATCCAAATCATTTTTCCGGTTTCTGAAATATCATAAATCTTTTCGTTTCAAGTTTTTTACACACTTTGTGTCCAGAAAAGAAAATACTTGTACAAACACAAGAAAATAAATAGCTTAATCGCATTACCTTGTCAGTCATCTTTAATGAAACACACACACACACACACATATATATATATATATATATATATATATATATATATATATATATATATATAAAGGCTCAAACACTAATATTCCGAGGTTATAATTTATTACATAGGGATCGTAATCTCGATCCAATTCGTCAGACCTACAAATTCAAAAAACGTTTTTTGAATTTATAGGTCTAATGAATTGGATCGTGAATACGATTCCAATGTAATAAATTATAATCACGGAATATTAGTGTTTGAGACTTTTATATTATATTCTTACTCTGTCCTGGGCATTGAGTTCTACCTCCATTCTATCCTCTTGGAAATTTATATATATATATATATATATATATAAGAAGAGGTTATAGTAGTTCCAACGAGAGAAGAGTGTGTATATTAAAAAGAAGAGAGGTACCGCAAACGTTTATGGTTATGTAGAGTACCGTGTGGTTTTGCGAGTTGTTAAGTTATGAACACATGCTGTTTATTCCTGCTAGAAGGTCCAACTACAAGAACATGGCGGACTCAAGTTGAATCCAACCGGAGATGTAAAGAAAACAAACAAGACCGATGTATAGATATAAACAAATATGTGTATTAAACAGCAAATTTACAAGTGACAAAGGCATCAACATTTGTGTTTGTGTGTGAACGTAAAGTGTTTGTATATTGGTGAATGTTCGTACGTACGTGTATGTGTGTTTCATGGCGTTTTGCCACAAGTGGGCGAAAACGCGGATCTCTGCGAGAGATCACATTTTTAAATGCGTCCGCAGAAATGCAAAGTGAAAAAGAGCGAGGCAAGAAGTCGCCCAGTATTTATAGTGTAGGGAGAGCGACCTCTAGTGACAATTAGGTAAGTAAGGAGGAGGTAAGCTAATTCCGACATATATATATATATATATATATATTGACCACTAATATTATCAATATATATATATATATATATATATATATATATATATGCAAATATGTAAAAAAATAGGAAAGAACACATTAGGTAAATAATCCGGGGTTCTTTAAACTACACATTATTAAGTTTCTAAATAATGAAAATTTATTAAACCATAGACATGAGTTAACGGTTTTTTGCCGACATCAACAAATTTTCGCATTAAATAATTAACATAAAAAAAAATAAAATAAAATAAACTTCATGGTCTAATAAAAGGTTTAAAAGCTTAACCCAATCATAAGATAGAAAAACTCTTTATGAAGTCGTCAAAAAAAAACAAATTGTAGTTCAGTACGGCGCGTTTATGTAGGAAACAGCCCTTAAAAAATAATAAATAAAATAAAATAAATAAAATTAAATTCTCTAGACAGTTAAAGACGTATTATGGTGCCAACAGCTATCTGTCGCTGTGACTGACCAGACGATGTGCGTACAAGAATGCCATCATTTGCTTTGAAATGGACACCCCGACACTCTTTCTTTCTTTTGTCCTATTTCCGAAAGTGACTGATATCTTGATACAAACTAACTCGTATGCCCCTTATCAAAATGGTCGTTTCCATAGTAATGAATTTTGCGAAAGAACATGCTTATAAAGATGCGTAAATTTCAAGATTGGTTATTCCTAAGTTTTCGCTTGAGGATGAAACAGGGATTGATACTTTAATTCAATTTAATTTTAATAATTATATTGAGGTTTTTGGCTTTTGTTTTTGAAACATGAGAACTCTTATGTAGCGAAGGAATATTTTTAAAGTAATTATATATATATATATATATATATATATATGAATTTAAGTGTATGCATACATATTCAAACAATAATTAATACAATTTAATTATCAACATAACCTCCTATAATTAATAATAACGTAATAGTTAAGATGCCACCAAATCAAAAACTGAAATAATAGATAAGTGAAAAAACGATCAAGAATTACTAAGCGCAGAGAGTGCCTGAAAAACTGCATGTAGGATTGTTAAGGTTGTTTTGACACTCAGAGTTGAAAGAAAGAAAAAAGGTTCCAAAACCAATAGGTAGAGATTATAAAAAGACAGGAAAAAAAAACGATGAAAGGGAGAAATGACCACGACATTCTACGCGCACGTACATGCATACACACGCGCGTGCAAGAGTATCCACGAGCATGTGATTTTGTTTCACACGTGACTGAAATTTACGCCACACACACACACACACACATACATGCATATATATATATATACTATTAAACAACAATGCTGGTGCGACTGAAAGACAACTTGCCCAAAGACCTAATAACTTAGACAAGAAAAAATCACGAATAATGAAAGAAATGACCAAAAGCCAAACACCTTAAGTTAAAGTACTCAAAGGCTATACTATCTAGACAGAGCGAAAAACGCATTACAACGTCAACACTCAAAGAAGGACATCTCGTGTCGTTACTCAAGTTTCACGCTCTCGCGATCTTCAGGTAACTAAAATGCCTGGAGTTTGCATACTCTTGGCCTGAAGATCTCTAGAGCGTGAAATTTGAGTAACAACTCGAGCTCTCCTTTGTCGTGTATATATATTTTAAAATATTTTTTTAATAAATTGTCTGGATAAATTTAAACCATTTTATAATTTCGGTCTGCTGAGGCAGATATTAAAAACTTATTTGTCGAAATAAATTTATTACCGAATTCTTCGATGGTGTGTTAATTTTTTTGCCTTATTAATATATATATATATATATATATATATATGTGTGTGTGTGTGTGTGTGTGTGTGTGTGTGTGTGTGTGTGTGTGTGTGTGCATTTTCATCATTTGATACATTTTTATTGCTGGAAAAGAAAAACTCTATACAAACCGCAAAAATGACATGTACCATTTACGCAGATGAACTGCATTTTTTTAAAAGAAGGACTAGATGGAAAATGAAAAATAGATTTTTTACAACAATGTGAAGGGACAAAAAGGTCCTAGAGGGCACGAATTACCGTTAACCGTTTGCTGTGTGTCTGGTGAGATTGGAAAGGCATTGTGTATTACAGATTCCTTCTGCAAAATTTGACGTTGAATTCAAACAAGTACTTACGTCGGAGATCCGTTTATATGACACGACGTAACATAATTTTCGACGCAGGTCAGAACTCACCTCCATAAGCACCCACGAGTCTGCCTTACGCTTGGGAGCCATAATGACACAAACGAGAGATAGCGAATGTAGCACAATCCAACATGGCGTACATCCGGTGAAGAAACAACGCCGTCTTATAGCGCCGCGTGACGACGTATTATACTATGGGAGATTGCACCGTAACCACGAAACGCCATACGCCAGGTACGACGTAACCCGAGGACTTTCTCTACTGTTTCTACTCGGACGAATTAAAGCAACAATCGATGAAAAGCGTCTGGGATTGACCATTCGAAAAGATATTTCTTCAATCAGGATGACCACAAACTACACGTCTTTTGTAAACCCAGTAGAAATTAATGAAATTTGATTGGGATGTCCAACCACACCAATCGTTCTCACCTGACCATGCACTTATTTCGATTCTAAACAAAATTATATTCTTAGAGAGTATCTCAATTCTATGGAAGCTTGTAAAAACCGCTTATATCAGCCCATCACTCACAAAGCTGCCCAGTTCTGGGAGGATATAATCAAGAAGCTGCCTTAAAGGTGGTGAAAGTTAGTGAAACAAAATGGCACATATGTGGCTGAATAAATCTATTCACAAATATTTAAATATATATCTTTTTAATTTACATAAAAAGCTACAAATTTTTTTTTTCCGGATCAATTCATAATTTAGAATGATGTTTCCAAACTCACATCTCATCCATACTCAAAGTTGCATTTAAATTGATAAATGGATAAAAGCATTTAATCAAGAAACTTCAAAATGAGGTTTAAGGAGTAAAATGAACTAAATGATTTTCTTTCTATCTATCTATCTATCTATCTATCTATCTATCTATCTATCTATCTATCTATCTATCTATCTATCTATCTATCTCAGTCTGTTCGTATCTATCTATCTATCTATCTATCTATCTATCTCAGTCTGTTCCTATCTATCTATCTACCTAGCTAGCTCAGTATGTTCATATCTGTTTATCTATCTATCTTTCTAAATTTGAGAAAGAACAGATGAAGTAAAAATCCGCTGTTCATAGCATTTACTTTTTAAAAGTGATCAATACAATGTTGAGCAAATATATATATATATATATATATATATATATATATATATATATATATGATATTTTTATTATAAGAGATTATAATAAAAACATTTTGAAATTTTGTTTTAATATGATTGTACTTCTTCAGGCATGGTAATTGGTGATTAAAATGATTTTTATGGAAATTTAAAAAAACAAAGTGTTACCTCTTTTCCGTAAGTTAAAAGTGGTGGTGGTGGGGGGACATAAGGTCAGAATTAAAAATAGACTTGTGTGTATGTCTTGATTAACTAATTAAATGTCAGATCTATGCTAAATAGAAAAGTAAGCTCAGAGGGTGGAGGTGGGTGAGTTATTTTTCATGCTAAACCAGAACATAGACTGGCCATCATTGACGATTGCGGAAAATTTGCACAATCATCAATCAAGACCTACCCACAAGTCTATTTTTAATTCTGACTTTATGGACCCACCCCCTTTTTAATTTTCGGAAAATAGGTAACACTTTGTTTTTAAATTTCCTTTAAAATCATTTTAATCACCAGTTACTTACCATCGCCTGAAGAAGTACAATCATATTATTGAAACATGAAAGCTCTTGTGTAGCGATTTCAAGATGTTTTTATTATAATCTCTTATAATAAAAATATAATATCTATCTATCTATCTATCTATCTATCTATCTATCTATCTATCTATCTATCTATGCCAGTCTCTTCGTATCTATCTATCTATCTATCTGATATAAAGAATAACATCGGGGAAACGGGAATTGGCGAGCCAAGTTCAAATTTTCATGCGCGTCTGTTGCATTCACTTTTGCACAAATGCCCTTTGGGAAAGGTATAAATCCGTATCTTCTCCCACTAGCTATGGGCTAAACAGCAGGATAGACTCGGCTTTCTAGTCTCGGGTGGCAACCAATTTAAGAGAATGTTGTCAACAGAAAGCAATTAAATACCTTATGGCCTGCGGTCAAATTAAAGAAAACCTGATTTGGAAAGAAGATTGTATAGCGCCAAAAACTTCCTGACTTGAAATTCAGCATTTTAATTCTAGACTTTTTACATCAGCTTGAGAGTGTGTGTGTGTGTGTGTGTGTGTGTGCAAAAGAGAGAGAGAGAGAGAGAGAGAGAGTAGGAAAGAAGGAAGGACATTTATTTTACGACGAAGTTTCGAAGTATCACAGTCCCACTCGTCAGGATAAGATAAATTTGTTAACCATTATTAATTGTATTTGTTATTACGATTATAAATAATATATATTTATTATTTAAATTTTAAGCAATATTTGCAATAAATTGTATTTCATTTCTCTCTCTCTCTCTGTGTTCTCTATTCCACATTCTCTTTCTATCTCACACTTTCTATTTCATCTCTCTCTCCCTCCCTCCTTTCCCCTTTGCCTCTCTAATCTTTATCCATCAACGTTGTATAGCCGTAGGATGTAAAAGTGTGTATGCATACAAACGCCCTCGTCTTGTTTACTTACATTGTCTATTTTAGGATCTGTTTACTTACCTTTCTAGAAAGACAGACTAGCGACACCAGTTCTGTGAGAAATGTTGAAGAATGCTGGAAATGCCAAATAGTATCCTCGCACTGATGATTACCCATTTGTCTGGTGTCGCTAAAAAAGCAAAAAAAATATTTGAATTCCACTCTCTCTTACTGTCCTTCATTCTCAATTTCCACTCTCTCTTACTGTCCTTCATTCTCTATTTCCACTCTCTCTTACTGTCCTTCATCCTCTATTTCCACTCTTACTATTCAGTATACTTCTACTTTTTTGCTTTCTTTCTTTCTTTCTTTCCTATTAGCCTCACTACGAACAAAAGTGACACGGCGTCTTTTTAATGTGGAGTGTCCAATACTTGTGTTTAGGGTCAGAAAAAGGCAGTTGAAATTTCTGGGACATACAATGAGTTTTTTTTTCACCCCAAGCAAGGCGGGATTGTCAAGCACGCACGGGGTTACAGGGAGTGAAAGTAAGGGAAAAGCCTGGGTAATGGAGATTAAGGAAAATATAAAATATGAACGGGGATCAAGGCAAACAGAAAATGGCGATTCACGTTGCATTTAAATTTTTGAAGAGGAAGCAAGCAAGATGAAGGGAGTTCCACTGTTGGGAAGTGCGAGAAAAGAAACTGTTGGAGTAGAAGTGGCGGTAATATTTAACTATTTCAAAAGTAAAAGGGTGTGACCGAGATGCTAATCTAGCAGCACACTTAAATTCATATATTTGGGACATCAGAAAAGATAGCTCGCCAGACCAGTTGCCATGAAAATATCTGTAGAAAAGACAGAGGGAAGCCACATTACGTCCACGAGAAAGTCACTGAAGTCGAGATGTCAAGTCAGGACCAATTACATTGCAGATCCTTCTTTGGATTTTGTCAAGAACCTCGAGATGAAAAGCAGGGTCACCACACCAGATATAGCAACAATATTCAATGCACGAACGAACGGTAGATGAACTCTGACTAGAAAAACCTTCTGGCACAACACAGTGAACCAACTTTCCTTGCAGAAGATGCAGCTATTGATTCAATGTAGTTGTTCCAGCTCAACGACTAAAGAAGATATAGTGGTTTAGGGGTTAAAATGAACAGATGATTTAGCCACGCCAAGATTAATGCTAATGACGAGGAAACATACGGGTAATTTTAACAAAACAAGATCAGGAATTTATTCATGAATTTACAGTACATACTTGAAGTAGTGTCAGTCATTCGTTTCAGAAAAATAAATCAGAAATTTTTAAGTCCGTGTTTTTAACGAATTTTCATAAAGAAATGCTTATATAACAGATTTAATGATCTGACACAAAATAATATTCGAAAATGTTTAAAACGAAGGTAAGAGAGTTCGTTGCTCACCGAAGAGAAATGTAGTTTCATACGTTCAAAAGTAGACAAAAAAAGATAGCTTGAAATACTTAGCTTTCTTGGATTGTTGAAGGAAAACTCTGAAATGCTATGTGCTTGGTTAAAAGTCTGATAATATAATTAGCGAGTAATGTAACACTAGCGAAAATATCAACGCTGGACGCGGTGAACAGAAACGAAACAGTTCACATGACTTCAGACATTTTTAATATTTCTCATCATTTTATACCGAAAGAAATTTCATATAGGCTCGCTACTTTCTTTTCAACAATTTCTGCGAAGATTTTCATTGGCCCAAAAGCAATTTCACATCGGCTTGCGAATTTATTTCTGTCTTGTTAGCTCGCTGGTGAATCTCTGTGAAGACAAGGTTTTCATTGGTCCAAAGAAAAATTCACATAGGCTTGCGAATTCCTTTCTGTCTATTTCCCCTGTCCTCTGAAGATGAAGAGTGTGGATGAAGGGAGTTATTATTATTTGGCACTCAAAGGCTTGGAGAATTTGATAATCCCAGAGCAAATCGACGGTCAGAAGGAAACAGAGTAACCTACTTAATGAGCTTCTTATGAAAATGAATAACAGAACAGAGACAGGGAGGGATAGTAAGGAGACAAAAAATTTCCTGAAGTCTATGGCTCAGCATCAGTGTGGGTTAATCCTACTTTGCTTCGGCAAGACGCCGTTAGAGGGCACTGTTATGCAGCTACAAAAATAGAACACTTATGTTTTCTTTCTGCTTTGCTCTCTTTTCCTCCCAGCTTGCTGTAGTGACAACATCCACCGGAAATCTTTCCCCTTAGTGACTGAACCTTTTCACAAACACACGCACGAGTGTATTACCCACACAATTACTAATTTTTTAATGTATTCTTTCTTTTACCGTCTATTTTCTCGCCTTTGCTACTTAGTTACATAAAGATCTAAAATATCACCTTATTGAAGTTTGTTCCATTTACTAGAGCCGTACTACGCTCGAATCTCCCGCCGACCAAGTCAAACCTAATTGGTGGCCTCGAGGCAATGTCTTGTGGACCACGCTATCTTATTAATATTTGATTTTTTCAACCTACATTTATATACGTCACAAATTAAACTAAACACAACTGACTATTAAATGTTGAAAAGATTTAACAAGAAAATATTCAAGTTAATGCTGTAAATTGCCTCAAAATATTGTTTATTTATTTAAGATGGAATGATCTATTATGACATATCTCTAATTTGTATTTGGATACATTGTATTTATTTAAGAAAGACCAATCAAATAAGATATAATTGTGACACTGTTTAGCTATGATAATTGGCTAACTAATTAACCATAGAAATTAAAAACGGGAAATACTTAAGGCGAGAAAGAGCTATACCGAAAGATAGACTGAGCGACATTAAAAAGAAGAATTTATTTTACTTACAAAAGAAGGATACTTTTCGCAAAAGACAGAAAATCAGTAAGAAAAAGCGAGACTGTGATTCTGTCAAATTAATTAATGTCACGATAAGGGAGTGATGTGTCAAACGAAACAGAATTCTGAAAGATAAACAAAGCCAACCGACGCATGCGACCGTGGCGGAAATTTGGCTTGAGACCAACCTGGAGAATAGCCATTAATTATCTTTCAGAGATATCATTTAATTTTGGTTCTTGGGTCCAGTGAGGAGACCCATCTGATGTATGTACGAATCTTGACATGAAAAAAAGGGAGTCGAAAAGGGGATCATTTACCTCGAGGAGGAGACAGAAAGTACTTGGGTTAATAAAAAATCGGCACCTTCCTTGATGAATTCCAATTTAACATCAAGAAGATAATTAGAGAACTAGAAATGATTATTATAAAAATAAATAGACATAATATGTGTATATATATATATATATATATATATATATATATATATATATATATATATATATGTATATATATATATATATATATATATATATATATTATATATATATATATATATATATATATATATATATATATATATATATATACACACACACACACACACACACACACACACATATATATATATATATATATATATATATATATATCAGGGTTAGAAATTAATGTTGTCCAGCTCACGATTTCAGACGGATAGGGTTAGGTTTAGGAGACGCGATGCTGTGAGGATGCAAATTTTTTAATAAAAAACCTATTATATTTATAACAGCAACTAATTTATTAAATTGCAGCCTGTCTGAAGTTATTATGCAAATCAAATAAACCTCAAAATCTCAAAACGTTCTGAACCAATATATGTCAAATTTAAACTCGTCCATTTCCCCCTTCAGGAGAATATTTAATTAAATTTGCTGTCATTTTTAATGGTTAGATTTTGAGATATTTGGAATTCATGAAAATGGACTGACTGAAGTTTATATGCAGATTTAAATTTATCTGTAAGTGTGATAAATATTATCATCAATTTGTTTCTGTCAATTTTTGGTTAAAAAAAGAACTTGCACGAACTGTAATGAGCCCCGATAAAAATAAAATATAAAAATGAAATATAGAAAGAAAAATAAAAAGAATTAAAATTAAAATAAGGCATTTGCGCTTTCTTTTAAAACCCTTAACTCTTTCTTCCTCTCTCTCTCTCTCTCTCTCTCTCTCTCTCTCTCTCTAAACTTATCTCTATATACTTCTCTCTCAACTAACGAGAAGGCAACCCTCAAATAAAAAGAGGAAGAAGAAAAGACTTGAACCAAGCCCCAAATCGCCGGACGTTTGCAGGACCAGAGCATGTTAATTTGTGGCTGAAAACTAACAAAAATGTGATAGGCTTTACGCCTGGATCTCTGTTATAAGAAAAAATTAAAAAAGAAAGGAACGATGGAAAATAAAATAATTTTAGCCAATCAAAAAAAAAAAAATGAACACGAAGAGACGTTTAATGTTAACCGAAACCAATGTTCGCGCCAGGGTCTCGGAGCCTGGTCAAAAGGATATAAGCTCACACCTCTGAGTTAGAAGAGAAAGGACGACAGGAGAGGACGAAACAAAAAACGCTAACGCTAAAAAACCAGCTATGCGTGACGCGTGAAGTAGTAAAGAGGTCATTTTCTGTGCTTCTGAGGGCCGAGTAAAACACAGTAGTTTGGTAGTAACCTATTTCTAATATTGCTACTGCTCCTATCACGGTCTAACTTCAAAACTGCCCACTACCGAACCGAGACGGACCTTTCTCCAGACTGCCACCAATATCCGCATTATAAACGAACATTTTACTCGACCGAATACCAAATGTTTATTTATTAAAGTATAATATTTTATTTTGCTCCGTCAAATACCAAAGAACTTACTCTAAATCAAAAAAACAAAAAACAAAAAAAAAAACAACTATATTATTATACCTTATACCCAGTTCGTTTGATTCCAAAGTTCCCGGTAAATAAATACCAAAAATCTCCAACGCAAATTACCACAGAACATTTAGAAAACAACAATTACGTGTTGTTTTTCTGCTTACCATAAACTAAATTGAAAATACAAGGGAGATTTTTTTAAAATGATAAACAAGCAAATAACATTTAGTCACGACGCGAGGCAGAACATTGTAAATAAAATTTGTTTATAAAGACGTTAAAAACTTTTTGATTATGATTTGTTGGAATATGCTTATATTCTTTATATAGAAAATGAATGCGTAGGGCACAATTCTTAACTTAAATTATAAAAGTGACACTGAACATGAAAATTATTAAGAAAATTTCCATATAAAATTATTCAAGGTAATTTAACAACAATGTTGAAATAAAAATAGTTTTATTCTAAAACTTACAATAAAATTTGAAAAAAATTTCCTTGATAAATAATTATCTTTAAAACTTTTAGCTTTTTATCATTATTATTATTATTTATTTCTTGAACATTTTAGAGATATTTTAAAAGGATTTATGAGAGTAGGAAAAGAAAGAACATTAAATCTATTATTCCGAGTATTATGAAATGCGCGCGCAAAAAAAAAAAAAAAACCTGTGAAATTTGAAAGAAATTTATATTTATCAAATGATATAAAAAATAATAATCCTGAATACAAGATTTACAAAACAAAATTGCTCAAAATTTTCCTTTGTGCGCCAAACACTTAGGCAAGATAACAAGTTTTAATTACAATTATTCTAGGTTCATAAAAAGGATTATAATTATTATCAACAAAATTTTCACTTACTTTTCAACAAAAGTTCAGTTTTCTAAACTGAGATGCAAAAATGAAATAAATCTCGAATTTTCACAAAAAAAAATCAAAATCAGCTTTAATAATTCTAATTTTGTGACACACCTTCACAAAAACAACTATAGAAAGATAATCATATAACCTTCTAAATTAATAGAAATTTCTGCTTTCTTCCTGCTTTTTCCTGTCCTTTTCTTACCTACCTTTTTCCTTCTTCTTTTTCTTTTCTTACCTAATTTTTCTTTCTTCTTTTTCTTTTTTACATAATTTTTTCCTGCTTTTTCTTTTTTCACCTAATTTTTTCCTTTCTTACCTACATTTCTCCTTTTTTCTTTTCTTATCTAATTTTTGCTTTCTTTTTTTCTAACCTAGTTTTTTTCCTTCTTCTTTTTCTTTTCTTACCTCCTTTTTTCCTCCCCCTTTTTCTTTTCTTAACTAATTTTTCCCTTCTTTTTTTTTACCTACTTTTCTCTTTCTTTTTCTTTTCTTACCTATTTTTCCCTTTTCTTCTGTTACTTTCTTTTCGTCGTCGTTAGTGGCTTTTAATTTTTTCTTTGTTCATTTCCCAGAAGCATTTCCTTTAACGGCCATAATTGTGCTATTCTCTGTCATGTTTTACCAGTAAATCCCCCAATCTCATCTCTATATCTTGTTTGATAATTTCTTTTTACTACGCTTTCTATCCAATGGTCATCAATAAAACAACCTTTTCTTCCATTTATTGCCCTTTTTTTCTTGTTATGTGCCCAGACTATCTTTGTTTGCTTTTGTTTTGTCACTTTTATTTATCTGTTTTCTGATCCATGTTGACCGCTTTTTATCTCGTTATCCCTAGCACTTCTCTTGTTGTAGACGTTACATCTTTTCGCCAGGATGCATGCTTTGAAAACCCTATTAGTAGTAGAAATCATGTTCAGCTCTTGGGCATGCGTAAAAAAAAATAAAAGTGGGGGTCATGCGTAGTACTAATAAAAAAGGCTAGCTTCCTTTCACACTCTGACCGGACATGACGTTAACCTTAGCGCTCCGAAACAGACACACGCGTATAGACAAAACACCTCACCCGCTCTTTAACTCACCAACAGAGTAAGTTCATCAATTTTTTTATTTTTATTTTTTATTTTTTTGTTACTGTTATGGTAATTTACCCACGCACACATGAAATCTCCGAGCTATAAATAGGAGCAGGTACTGCCTTTTGGAGAGGGAAGTTTCCAGCAGTCAGCTCTGACAGTCGGATCGAACATTCTTGCTGTAACACTCTCGTTTGTATATGTTTGTATTACTGTTTCATTTAATATATTTGTTTAATTCAATTCCTCTCTTTGGGTCTTTATTTCTGGCCCTAACAAGGCCACAATAGTTACAGAGACTATAAGAACATTCCTTGAATTTACACTTTATGCCAGGAAGGATCCTTAAACATTCTATACAAAAAAAGTTCCCGCTGTAATAGAAATTTCTATCACATTTTCTTCGTCTCTCTCACTCTCTCTCTTTCTCTCTGTTTTTTTTTTTTTTTTTTTTTTACTCCATCTATTTGACACTTGTACAGGGTGTCCTTAAAGTCTGAACACCCTAGGCAAAATTTCATATTGTCAAGAAAATAAATTTTCTACAACATTTTATTGAATTGGAATACAGTGTAACCCGGATATAAGAGACCGGGATATAAGAGAAACCCGGATATAAGAGACACTGATATAACAGAAACCCGGATATAAGAGAGATTTTCTCTGGTCCCAAATTAGAGCCTGTGTTAATGTATATAAAATAGACCAAACCCGGATATAAGAGAAACCCGGATATAAGAGACTTCTTCTCCGGTCCCGACAACTCTCTTATATCCGGGTTACATTGTATTAACAAATAACATCTTCAATATGATCTCCGTCTTTTGTAATGCAAAAGTTGATACGCTTTGAAAGGTTCCCGTAATGAACTCGATACAATAACCTCACATTGCCGTCAATTTTAACACATTCACACTTTATGCATTTATGTGTTTCATCTGTGATTTTCATTGACTGCACCTTTTCCTTTAGCATATCAATTCTTTCTTCTTTCGATAAAACCATGTTTAATCTGTGGAGGTATAAAAAAAAATATAGTTAATTGCAGTCTTGCGCATCACAGTATGGATCGAAATTCTCGCTTAATAAAAAAGGCAATTTCAGTTTGAACTATTATAAATAAAAATATCTCGAGTCGTTTTAATTTATTATTTGCTCAGGAAAAAAATTGTTTTGGTTTTTTTGGCGGCCTTTCTGGGTTTCCTTTAAAACCGAAATCTTTGGAGTGTAAGAATAATCTTTTTTTTTTTTTTTTTTTTTTTGGCTAAAGTCCCACTATTTTACCCATAGCTGGTGGGAGAAGCGATAGATTTCCCAAGGTTATTTGAAAGTAAAGAAAGCCATGAGAAAAGACAAAATTAAGAGAAAAACACTAAAAAAAAATTACCGGAAAGAAAGAAAGAAAGAAAGAAAGAAAGAAAGAAAGAAAGAAAAAGGTTTCTTTATACAGGGTGCGGCAAAAATATCTCCCACATAATGGTAAGGGATTTGGGTTATAATCCCGAATGTCGAAATCCTAAAATTGAAAATCCCGAAATTTGAAATTCCGAATTTATAAAATCCTGAAAGACCAGAATCACGAAAAATAATTTTTGGGAGAAATTGAAAAACAAATTTTGGAAATACCTTTATTTCTAAACATTTACAAAATAGCATTTAAATAGTGTTTATACATTTGAAACATTCAAAATTCATTAAAAAAAAAAAATAAACCAGAATATATGAATAATTTATAATGAAAGATTATGAGCAAGAGTCCTAAGAGAGTCCATAAGATCTGATCGGTTTTCACGATCGTTAACTATATTGTTAAGCCTTTCGTAACGATAAAACAAGAAAATGCGTTCCCGGAAAATACATTCATATTCGTTTTCTACGTTCCTCTACTCTTTTTTGAAACTCTCCAATAATGCGATAATCACCGACATGAGCATTGCCTACTAAATGTTGCCATTGCCTAGTCGCCATATTTAGTTAGAAGACACCATTGCCATTATGTGGGAGGTCTTTCTGTCACACTCTATAGAATAATCCTTGCAAGCACGACACTTGACGCCAAGAGCAATCGAAGCGTTGTGCTAAAAACAACAAATACAAAAAAAAAACAGGCTTGACAAAAAGAACCATGAAATAAACAGCCAAAACATTTCCTCCCAGAAATTCAGAGGGAAAGAAAGAATCCGAATCTATCTGTCCGCCTGACTGATTTAATTAACCCCGTGGGACACATTTTCTTCTGATGGAGCTCAATTGGAAAACTTGAAGCTAATGAATCTTGACAAGGAACAATTTATTTGACAGATAACTGATGTCGCTACGCTGCCGACACAGCATTGTTCATTGTCTCGAAAAAATAAATATAGAATAAATAAATAAATAATAATAATAATAATAATAATAGTAGTAGTAGTAGTAGTAGTAGAGACATGAGATTAGCGCGCTTGTGGTGGGTTAAGAAAGTAGGAGTTGTTCCTGTTGTCGTGGACGCCCTTGGAACTGTGATAGACAAAATCCAAAATGGCTGTGTAAAATTGACACTGTGATACGAAATGAGGTAATTTAGAAAACTACACTGGTTGGCCCAGGACAGAATTCTGAGAAACATTTTATTGATATAGAGTGGTAAAAGAAAAACGACAGGGCCTATGATCATTTATTACAAGCCGCTTCTGTTCTTTTAATTACGGCGTAAGATATGCACGAAATAATAATAATAATAGTAGTAGTAGTAGTAATAATAATCAAAATACAAGGATCTTGAAGTGGAAATCTAAAAAATGTGTAACATGAGGACATCAACAATTCCAGCTGCAGTTGGAAACCTCGGACTGATTGGAAAAGTCTCTGATAGATTCGTTGAAGGGATTCCTGGTAGCCCATAGCTTAAAGAAATACAAACGCTTGTACATATCACACATTACGAAAAGCTTTATCTATGTACAATGTGTGTGATCTTTTCTTTTTTTTTCTTTTTACAAAAATGATCAGTGAAAATGTCATGAGGGCATTTCTGACCTTAGGTCTTTTGTTGGGACACGGAAGGAAGTGCATATACAATAGAAATCAAAATAATAATAATAATAATGTGGTACATGGGAACATCAACAATCCCTATTGTAGTTGGAGCCCTAGGATTGGTTGGAAAAGATTCCAGTAGACTAATTGAAGGGATTCCTGGAAGCCCATGCCTCAAAGAAATACAAAAAAATGTTCTCACAAGTATAGCTCACACTTTACGGAGGGCTTTATCTATGTAAAATATTTTTATTTTATTTTATTTTTTTTATTTTTTTTTATTTTTTTATTTTTTTTTATCAGTGGAAAGTGTCATGATGCCATTTCTAACCTTAGGTCCCTGGGCGGGACCCGGAAAGAAATGTATACACGCCAGAAATCAAAGGAAATAAAAATAATAATAATAATGAAGATAATTCTGGTCGTTCATTCGTTCCTTACATTCTGTTAGTATTTCATAAATAACAGATTATTCCATTTGGATCATAAGGGAAAAGACATATCAGAGAAACTTTATTTTAGATAGAAAACGAAAGAAATAACAAAACATAGAAGAGGCGACAAAAGCTCTCATACATTTAACGTTTGTTTCAATGAAATGGAAAAACATGACAATTTGAAATGCTTTCATTTTTCAACTCTTATTTAAATAATGGACAGACTTCAGATTTATGATTCAATTCAAATACTTAGCAATTCAAATATCAATTAGGAAAATTGAAATCCTTTCATGTACTACTGGAAATTATAATAGGTAATAAATAATACAGTGCAGAATAAAGTGATGGTGATGGTGATGGTGATGTAAGGACCTGATGCAGCGTGATTAATATTGGTACTTGTGCATATTAACACCACGAATATGCCAGTAACATAATACAGACATTAGTAATAGTCCCAACAGAAATAGTAGTAGTAATTTTAACATTTTCCTTAGTATGCACATTTCATTTATTAATTTTAACTAATTTCTGTCTGAATTTCTGGGATGAGGATTTATCATTATTTTATTTATATTCGAACTATTGTCCTCATCTTTGGGATTCTGCGAAAACGTTTTTTCCCTATTATGTAGATTTTGGCGAGGTAGATACTTTCTAAGTTTATCTAAGTCTGGCGCAGATTACCAATAAAGAGTCACCCATTGAGAATCGAACTCACTATTCCGTTGAACGATCTGGACGTCTTTTTATTGGTCTAGTTATCATGACTAAGTTCTTTAGAAACAAAGAAAATGGTACGGAACTGTTATGTCTTATATGCCCTCCTATATGGCAGTGAATGCTGGACAATCTCCTCGAAGACGAAAAAGATTTGAATCTGGCTCTACAGGAGGAGGATGAGGATAGCATGGATCGAACATGTGAGCAACGACTTATACTTTAGATCAAGAAAAGAAAGTTGAAATTTCTAAGGCACATAATCAGGAAAGAAGGCTTGGAAAAATT